AATGCTCGTTCGGGAAAAAATACGACGCGAAGAATTCTAGAAATTTAATGGATTGAAACATAAATTTTACGTAACAGACCATAAAAAATTCGCACGGAGAACAGTGATTTCTACGAAGCGTTATTTATGAATCACGATTAAACCTCACAACGTAATCTTTACGTGATTTGGATGTTTTTTTTTCAAATACTTTCGACTCGTCTGTAAAATTTAAAAGTCTACCTCAAAGCCGTATTTTTCAAAATTTTATCTTTGCATTTCTACAATACCACTGTAACATTTTTAGGCTCACTGCACTGAGAGAAAAACGAACAAGTTTTCAAACAAGTTGGTTGGACCAACAAAATTGTTAGTTGAAGGGTACTAAAGAAATAACTGTTTGGTTCGAATTTAAACGTCTCAAACATGAATAATTGCTCTGCTTTCAACGACAACGAAATATTTGCTCAAGAGACGGATCATTCAGACAAGAGAGTGCTTTTTCAGGAGAAAAATAATTTTTATAGAGGGAAGTTTATCAAGAAATATTTTGTCTCTAAGTTACAAGATTGCTGTCATATCATTATTATTATATATAATAATTTAAGAATTAACTAGCAAACTGGCGCTTCGCGCCCGTCGCTAGGTGAGTTTATACTATTCTATTTCATTTCATTTTCTTGCCATTTCCCTCTTAACAATTAAATTAATTTAAGTTTATCCATTTTTATTTTTATTATATTTTTTTTCGTTAATTCACATGTTACAACATTAAATGAAGAGGAATTATATTAAAGAACACTAAGCACTAAAAAGTATTTTTCGTCATATCTGCACGGAAAGTTCAATTTTCCGCCCCAAATGACGGCAAAAAGTGGTTTATTTCATTCCTCGGATTTCTGTTGTTTTTGACGATCCTCGGAATGACATAACCCACGTTCCTCCCTGCATTTACGAAGAAAAATCGAATTATACCGTGCAGTTATGACAAAAANTTCCATGATGCACTTTTGTATGATGCTGAGTGTTAAATTTCAAATATTACCACTTGATTATCTTTCTGAACAGTCCTTCTAGTCCATTCAAAGTTCTGTGGACGGATATAAAATGAAATAGGTTGTTTTAATTTAGAAATCTAAAGGATACATTTATTTCGTTCCACAAACTGGAATTTTTTGAAAACAAAAATGGAAAATCCTCATAAATATTATTATTAGTGCTAATATTCATTTTAGCTATCAAAAAGGATGATTTATATGTAAATTTGCTGAAAGTGNGCTCTAACTCCACAGCATCCTCTCCTCCATCTTGCTAAAGAAAATAATTTAATCAGGTGAAGTCAGGTGTCCATATCTCGGCGATCCACCCCATGGAAAAATCGCTCCACTGAAATTCTGGTACAAGCCCGGTGATACAATTCAAGTTACATGCTCACTGGGTTACGTAACTCCATTGGAGCCAGAGAGGAAGCCAACGTGCAGAGAGAATGGCATCTGGAGTGGACCACCACCCCCCTGCACATCCTACAGAGATGTTTGAATTCCACTCATCGACACAGTACCAAAGAGTTCAATCCGAAGCAATTTAAATATCTAACGAATCGATGAATAAAAAATCTTACGATTTTTTTCATCGATTGTCAATCGATTTCGATCGAATCAAATTGACTCTGCCGTTACGGCAAAATTATTAGCAAAGAGAAACCATGTTTTCCACAAAAGATGAAATAAAAAAAGGGCGCAACTCGAAAGCTCCACTCGTCTTGGTTCACTTGAGACCTTTCTATTTTTCTTCCAGCATCTTCTTTATCTTACCCTCGAATGGTCCTCATCGTCTATCCTCACTAACTCCATGGCCTTGTATTTGCACGGAGATTAATTAAAGCTCCTTGCCATCTCCCTCCCCTCCCCCTCGCTCTCACCCTTCACCATCCACCTTTTATCCTCATTTCAACTTGAGGATCAACCCCCGATGGCATTTGAAAACCCCTCAAGCCAGAGTGTATCAAACGTTGAGAAATCCTTGTAAATACAACTGTGAATTACTTTACAAGCCAAACAAAAATGAGGTATGTACGTATTATTGAAGAGTCTGGGAGGGCAAGGGAAACATTTTCTTTGGATGAGAGAGATATAAGGCGTATAAAACACCTTGGCAGTGCGACTTTAGTAGCGAATTGACAAATCAATCGTCATTTTGATTTATTTGAAAATTTGCGAAAATGTTGTATTTGTTAAAAATCAGAATTCCGGGGATATCTTTGAATATCATTCATCAAATGAATTCACTCATAGCTTAAAATATTTGTTTTAATGCCAATAAGTCGGAGCCATTAAACGATGATTACGATAGCTGTATTGGTTTTTTTTAAGGCCTTTTGAGTCCCCTTTTCGGGTCTTGTTTCGGCATTTCTATCCAACTCTATGCATGCGGCTGTGGATTCTACACTGCACCGCGTTCGCACTCCTATAGAACATAGGAGTAGCATGGGAAACCACAGGAAACCTATGCCGGTACAGGCGGTTACTCTATTAGCAATCTCCTGCTCGCCGGAGCCTTCCGTTGAAAAATTCGGTTCCACGGGGAATCGAACTCGCAATCTTCCACATATGTACTAGACTTGCGTCTAATCCACTCGGCCACCGACGGCGGTTCCACCTCGGTTTGTTTCGACTTGAACGTTTTACTATTCAGTTGACAGAGATATTAAGTGATTTAACTACATAGAGAAAAAACATTCCAGAATTTGGAGGAGAAATGGTGCTTGGCTCTACTATAGTAAGAGGATATCACCGAAACGAACAGAAGAAGAAGAAGAACTCAACCTTTCGCACACTACACTTGCGTCTAGCCCACCCGGCCATCGACGTCGGTAGCTGTATTGGTTGATTTGATCTTCATGACGATTGTTGAAAATTTCAAATTTTTTATGAATTTCCGTGGAACTGAGCTTTCTGATGGTTTCTTCAAATGTGAGTGAGGGGTTACGCACACCCTAATTGAGTGACACCATGATTTCGAAGTGAAGTCGATTTCGGGTGATTTCAAGCGTCACGGGAGGTGATTTCATCATTTCGAATGAGTTCATCAATTCGAAATCAATTCGAAATAATAAAGGTAAGACAAAACTGGTTGTGTCAAATTATGAAAATCAAAACTGGAAAATAATAACGAAATCGTTTGATTTCACTCCGCCAATCGTGGGCAAATGACAACGAAAAGCGATCCATTTTACCATTTTACTATGGCAGTAAGTATGGCATTTTATTATCATCGTCGGCAGGCATGTCAATTTCAAAATCACGAATTACTTGCACGCACGGAGAGAAATGTTCAGTAAAAATGACGGAACTCACAATTCGCTCGGCGATTACGGAATCGATTCAGAAAATTTAGGTGACGGTATCGTAATTTTTCACAGGAGATTCAGATAAAAATTACGGAACGCTCTGAAAAAATTCCGTAACAGTTCCGTAAAATGTCCTACAACCACATTTCGCTCCGGAATTACGGAAGATACGTAATTTTTATTGTATACGAGATCGCGCCTTCTCATCTCCTCACGTAGTGGCGCTTCGGTTTCAATCTTACGCTTACGCTTATTCGAGATTTTCGAGATCGATTTCCTATCTCCTTTTTACAATGGGATTTCTCTCCGTGTGGTTCGTATTATGCCAGTGCGTGATTTCAATGATTTCACGTGATTTCGGAGTGATTTTTGAATGATTTCAGTAGTGAAGTGGTCAAACGGTTTAAGTCAATTCCATTCTAGCGTCAGTTAGCAAAATTTTCCTAACAATCTTTCTTGTAAAGAAAAGTGAAGACTATCGAAAAAAATTTTGCAAAAATTTCGCTATCTTTCATAAATTCCGAGTTATTCAACGAAAACTCAACTGGGAGCTAAGTCGACTTAAACCGATTGACAACTTTACTACTGATTTCATGCCAGAGTGGCGCTGCGAGCTCGGGAATGAGTATCGCCTCGATGTGATGTTTCAAATTCATTCAACTATGTACAAAATAAAAATTTTCTAGCAGCATTTTATCAAAGGGCTGGGAAGGAAACAGAACCGTGAAAAAAGATAATCGGTTGTATAGAAGAACGGGATAAGAATAATGATGATGATAACATTAAACTAATCTGAAAATCTGACAAAATGAGTTAAAAATAAATCTTATTCAATGTAATAACATGAAATAAACAATGAACAATACATCATAGACGGAAATGATGTGCAAGAAGGAGGAATCCTTGTAAATACAACTCCGAATTACTTTACAAGCCAAACAAAAATGAGGTATGCACGTATTATTGGAGAGTCTGTGAGAGCAAGGGAAACATTTTCTTTGGATGAGAGAGCTATAAGACGTATAAGACACCTCGGCAATGGGACTTTAGTAGCGAATAGACAAATCACCGGATCAAGACCTGAGTATTCTTTCTTTTGCGTTCTTGGGAGGTCGATAACAGTGGAACTATTTATTCCCGGAAGAAAGCCCTCTCGTACACCTCTGGATAATCCAACTCTTTGTATGGATTGGTGCACCGAACGGTGCGTTTGTATTCTTATGCGATCCCCTTGGCTTCTTTTTTTCCAGTACCTCGCCCTTTATCCGCAGTTCTCTTATCCCCCACAGATACCTTATCACGTTCATTTTTTGACTGGGATAATGCTCTTGGATAAAACCAATTGCATCATTAGTCTATATCAGATAAACAATATCCGTTTCTCCTTTGATATGGGGGAGGCTGGGTAAAATGGGCACCTTTGATCATTTTTTTCGATGATTATAACTCAAACAGAAATTTATGAAGTGAGTTCTGTCGAGTCTTATGATAAAGGGAAAGGGGGATTGTGATTTCCAAATAAAAAAAATTATCGTATTAATAATTCAACGAACCATTGAAATTTCAAAAGAAGTCCAAAGTGCCAATTTTTCCCCATTCCTCCCAACTCGAAGAGAGGAAGTTATTATAGTCACCTCGAAAGCCGAAACTGGAAATTTCATATCTCCACGGTTTTGATGTCTCGAAACGTTCCATGAAGTTTTTGAAATTACGATTACATAAACGTATTTAACGACTACAAAATCATCAATTACGCTTGTAGTCGCCGGAAATTACGATCACATAAACGTAATTCGCGACGATTATGAGCGTAATTTTCGATTGCGAAATCGTAAATTAGCACGATTATAAATCGTAATTTACAACAATTATAAACGTAAATTACGTATTCATAAATGTAATTTACGCTCAAAATCGTCGTAAATTACGATGATTTTTTGTTATTTTTGATAAACGTAATTGACGTTTTGATAAACGTAAAAGACGCTCTGTTTATGCGTAATTTACGTTTTTATTTTGACCGTAGAATATCCTTTTTTAAAGCCTAAATTCCGATATTCATGACGGAAAAAAAGCCACCAGACATCATATTGACGTTAAGTGTAAATTACGTTTATCAAAACGTTTTTTTTTAATCGTTATTTTACATCGCTTCGACCCGGTTAGGGTATACTGCGATGATGATCAAAGACTTTAAATGGTTAGATCGCACCATTCTACCCGGCCGGGATTTGAACTCGGAACCTTTCGCATGTGAGGCAACGAACTTACCCACTGCGCCAAGCCACCGGGCTTAAAACATAATTTACGTTTAGGTTTTTCTGTGTGTATGCCAATGAAGTCAATCGATGCATTTCAATGATTACATTCGGAAAAACATTGTCTCAGGTGTTTTTTAGATGTTTTTCAATGGAAATCGTAAAAAAAAGTCGAAAAATATAATTTTTTGACAATTTTGGGAATTTTTCCGGGAGAAACGAAGGGATCACGTTTCTTTTCCCGCAATTTATGTGGTTTCACGTAAATAAGATCGAGTAAACTCTCGATCAAATCGTCTCAGCGGTTCTATCGAGTTAGTCAAATACAAACTTTAAAATTTTTGCATTTTGCTTACGAATGGAAGCTTTGCAATCGTTCAAATTTAAGTTTTGGATTTTTTGTATTTTGTGGTTTTTTGTGTTTTTTGTGTTTTGGATGTCTGGTGGCTTTTTTTCCGTCATGAATATCGGAATTTAGGCTTTAAAAAAGGGTATTCTACGGTCAAAATAAAAACGTAAACAAAAAGCATGATCCAAAAAATTCGAAAATGCAATTTTTAGATCTCGTCCGTACGTGTGTGTGTACATATGTGCATGTAACAAAGTTTTTCGTCAATTGTTCGCTAATGAATGGATGGAATTGAATATTTTGTTTCAAATATAGATATTGTTGAGCCCTACCAATTGCCATCAATTAAAATTTAACTCACCGATTAGTTTTTTAATTTTCGATTTTTTTGGAAAATCGTGGTTGCCCCACGATAATTAATAAAATGTTCAGAATTGATTGAATGGTAGCTTAAAAAAATTGTTTAGATGTCCTTTTCACTGAGTTCAAAGACATGTATAAATAAAATTTTTCTATTAACATTTCATCGAAGGGCTGAGAGATAGAACCGTAAAGAAGATAATCGGTTGTATAGAAGAAAAGGATAATAAGAATAATGATGATGATAACATTCAACAAAGTTGAAAATTCTACAAAATCAGTT